CTCTCTCTCTCTCTCTCTCTCTCTCTCTCTCTCTCTCTCTCTCTCTCTCTCTCTCTCTCTCTCTCTGTGTGTGTGTGTGTGTGTGTAAGCTGAATCAGCTTCTTGCATCTTTTGATGACATTCAGTTTCCACAAAGAATTTCTTATCTCTAGGTGAGAGTCTGGGATCAAAGACTTATTGTTTTGGAATTTGGGTTGAGAAAGAGAGCTCAAACTGGCCAGGTCCACCTGATTTCTCACTGGCTCACCATGGCCGCCCGGAAATGCTGTGGGGGACAGTCCATTGCAGTAGTTACCCTCCTGAGAGACAGAGACATTAGCTTTCTGTGAATTCCCCTGTGGCTTAAGAGCCAGGCCTGGCTCCCCCAGTTCTTTCTTTTCACCTTCTTTCTCGCCTCATTCTGCGGACTTCTTCCCCATCTTCAGTGACCCCCTCTTCCAACACCCCTAATCCTGCCCAATAGAGCTCTAGAGAACTAAGCAGAGGACGCTTCATGGAAAGACCAGCGGTTAGCTGGAGAAGCAGGGTAGTTAGGGCTGCATCTGGAATGAGATAAAGATGAAAGACGAGGTGGGACTCAAAGAAAGAAAGAGAGGACTTTGAGGGAATAGACACCATGAACACTCCAGTAGCCGCCGCACAAGGGGAGACTCAAATACCATTTTCATTTCAAAGTCTTTCAATTGTGTGTGGGGTTAGTAAGGCACATTACTAAGCCTCTGCTAGTACATAACATATCCGGCTGTAAGTCATCCGTCCCGTTTCTCTCGCTCTGGGGTGACATCCAGAGGGGTTCCGCTGGTTGACCTGTGTGCTTACTTGTGGCACAGGTCCCTGCATGCCCAAACCGAATGATGTTCAGGAGTAGGAAGACATAGCAGAAAGAGACCCCAGGTGGAGGTGGGGAGTCTGAAGAAGCACGCCTCTGGGTACTGGCCGGGAAGCCTATGGCCCGAATTCGGGAACCTGGCTGCGGGAAGTGACTTCTATTGAAATTACCCCTCTGCTAAGGGTTCGAAACCAGGCGTCCTATCTCCGGGTGCGCAAGGCTTAGCAGAGCTCCAGTCTGGAGGGTGCAGGGGGAGGGAGGATCCCCCACTCACTCAGAAAACAGCCTCGGAACCCAAAGCCGGGCGGAGGGCGACTCGGACATCATCCTCCGCCTCTCTCCCCTCAGCTGGAGCAGCCACTGAACCGGGCTGGCCTGAAAGGACCCAGGGCGCCGCGGTGTCCCAGAGACTTTCGGGCCTGGGCTTCTCCACGCTCCGGAGGGGTCCTTGGACGACTTGAGCCCTCTGGTTCGCACGTGAGTCCGGACACCCGCCACGCGCTACCAGGGAGCTGGCCGGCCAGCGTTGGGCTTGGAGGGAGGGCTGGAGGCGGAGCGGAGGCAGGGGCGCAGCCGGGAGCCGCCCCAGGGGGAGGGACCGGGAGGTCCGGGAATCCAGAGCACGACCTGGGAGGACGGAGCCAGGCAGCCGGGACAGCCGCGGGAGCCGCGTGCTCAACCTGTCCCCGCCCAGGGAACCAGAGCCTCCAACTAACTCCGCCCGCCGCCCGCGGGCTCGGGCTTCCGTCCCGGAGAGAGCCTGCGGCCGCGCAGGTTGGTGCGACCCGTGCCGGGCGCGGAGGGGAGCGGGGCTGGCGCGGAGCGGGGCGCGGAAGTTGGGCAGAGGCCGGGCGGGGATCGGGCTGCTGGTCCCTCCGCTTCCTGGCGCGGGGACCATGGTGGATTTCCTCAGGCGCGGCCCGGGTCAGGGCATCTGGCGTCCCGAGCCTTCCTGGCGTTCCCCAGTCCCGGGGTTGTCAGCGCCACCGCGTTCTCCTCTCCTGCTGTCCTCACCGTCGCCCCTAACTGCGCCCTCGTCTTTTGGGTCGCTTTTGTTCATTCGCCTTGGTTTGCTTTTGTCCCATTTTGAACAACTCTAAGTGACAGTGGGGAACCCCGCGGGACCCCGGACCGGTCCTTAGGACTTAGTTTGGGGGTCGTAGGGGCTGCCACGAAGGTTGAGAGGGACAGACAGGGCAGTGGAATAGCGACTGGGGCACTGAAGTCCTGGCAAGTGCCTGGAAGCTTGCGAATTACCTGTCCTCATCGCTGCCGTGTGCCTGCCCAGCTCTGCTCTCTCCCCGCCGATTTGCCAGCCTTAGTGTGTGTGTGCAATATGCCAGGGAAGAGTGCTTGCTCCGCTAGGCAGGATGGAAAGCACCCGCCAGCCACTTCCTATACTAATTCAGTCTGCTTGGGTCACCTCCTCTGTGTGGCCTTGGTACTCTCCCATCATACTCTCTGTTGTCCTGAACAAAATATATGCTGTTCTGCTTAGAGCCTGTTGGGACGATTTAGGGGTGTGATGTGGTGGTTTTGAGTCTAGGTCTCTTGTCTAATGAACCTCCGTGTCTTGAGGGTCGGAGTTCCGTGTTAAAGCTGAGATGCGGTGATAAATCTGAATGATTTGGCCTGGAGCTCTTTAAGCCTGAGAGGCACAGCATGCATCTTCTGGAAGTGGTTAATGGTGTTCAGAGTTGAAACTGCCCTTTACTCAGCAAACCCTGTGTCCGAGCTGTGAATCTCTATCCCCATAATTATAGAAATTCGACTACCAAGAAGACACTATTGGCCTCAGCCTTTATACTTAAGAACTTTGTTCGCTTCGGGTGTTTTGTTTTCTCTACAGTCTTGTTTCCAGCCTGTGAATAAATTTAAATTTAGTTTTGAAAGAAAATCGTCATCTTTGTGAGCCACCATGTGGCTACTGGGAATCGAACTCAGGGCCTGGAAGAGTTGCCAATGCTCTTAACAGCTGAGCCATCATCTCTCCAGCACCCCCCCCAAGTCTTCATCTTTATAAAGTGAATTCAAATACGTAGTATCTGAACTTGATAATCACAGGCACAAGAGTCCTTGTTTAATGTCTTTCTATCTGCCTTAAGGGGAAAGAACTGAGAGAGTCAGATTTACACTTTGCATTAAATGGCAAATTCTGTCATTCACATATTCCCAATTTAATAGACGTTTTCACGAGTCCATGTCTTGTGCAATGTAGTCTGCTGGGCGCTTTAAAGAGCAAGACGTGGAATATATTTCTTGCCCTAAAGGGCTTTCTAAACTAATTTAGTGACACCTGTATCTTTATATGGATCCAACATAGGCTAATAACTATATGTGGCTGGTACAATGCTGTCAAGAAGGTACTATCCGAGGCCCTTTTGGATCATGATTTGGTGAAGCTGACTCACAGATTGGAATAAATACCAGGTTCTCTAAGGATGCACTTTGCTCATATTTCACCAAATAGAGGTACATTTGGAAAATTAATTTTTTTAGAGCCAAAGTTTAGAACAGCATTCTGTAAGACAATGGTGCTCAACCTTCCATCCAAATGCTGCGATCCCTTAATAAATTTCTCATATTGTGGTAGCCCCCAAGCATAAAATTATTTCGTTGCTACTTTATAACTGTAATTTTGCTCCTGTTGTGTATCATAATGTATAATGTAATCAGTTGTGCAAGACATCTAATATGAGACCCGTGCGAAAGGGTCCTTTGCCTCCCAAAGGGGTCATGATCCTCAGGTTGAGAACCCCTGCTATAGGATTATTATGTGGTAAGAAAATATTAAAAGACTGTCATGATTTCAACCAAAGCATCAATTGGCTTTGGGGCCACATCCATGTTTTTCTCATGCACTTGGGAAGAAAATTATAATGTCTAAAAAATAACTAGAGAGTGCAGGAATTTTGTTTTGTTTTTATGACCATAATTTAAAATAACCTTATTATATTAATTCATTTAATTGTGGGAAGGCACAGGCACATAGTTGGAAATCAGAGAACACGTTGGGTTTTAGGGATCGAACTCAAGTGTCACACTTGATAGCAAGCACCTTTACCCATGCCGCCACCCACATGTACACCCACAAATGTACAGTTTTTAACTGACAAGCTTGAACACTTTTAGCTACTTTCCTGTTGCTGTGATAAAGCACCATGATCAAAAAGCAACTCATCAAAGACAGAGTCCCATACCCTACACTCTCTGTAGCACTTTTAAACAACCCCACCCGCCAAGGACCCAGTATTCAGATACTAAATTGTAGCACAACTAATAAAAACCAAGAAACAGATATTGGGGTTCAATCTGAAGATCACAAAAACAAAGCAGCCAAGCCACTAGAGAGCTCTTACCTCAGTGAAGCCTTCAGACTTAAAAATAGCGAGTTCTTGTCTCATCCCACCTTATATTCCTCTCTAGTGCTTGGAATAAGGGTGTATACCACCACCACTGCCCGGCCTGCCTCTATGGTTGACTAGTGTGGCTGCTGGGATCAAAGGTGTGTGCCACCACTGCTTGGCCCGTACTGCTTTGCACTGAACTTCAGGCAAGCTTTATTTATTAAAATACAAATTAAATACCACTATACTAAACCTGTGGGGGACATTTCTTATTCAGACCACCACAGATACGTAAATGTTGGATGAAGTCTGGATTGGCTCTGCAAATGTGACTTAAGAAGTTAAATGAAAGCCATTTCTTTGTATTTTAGCTAAAAAAAAAAAAAAAACAAGCAAAGAAAAAACAACAACAGCAAAAAAAAAACTCCCAAACCAACCAAACCAAACACATAAATCATCATTATCATCATCATCATCATCATCATTATTCTAAATGCTTTTTAATTTTGAAAAGGTTAATATAGTCTCAGTGAGAATTATTTTAAAACCAATTCTTTCTTATTAAGCTTGGAGCACAGGATAAGTAAGATGTCTATTTGGAAAAGATTGATCCAGGCTCTTCCCTTCCAACTAAGTTGCATTTCACGTGATATAATGACATGGATTCTTTCCCTAGTTTTAATGAGAATATAACTACCTGTTGGGGGAGTTTCTTATGCTGCGTGCATGTAGGCCTTTGAGAATTGATTGAAGCCACACAATGAAGTATGGCAGGCTGAAGGACAGCCTGAGGGATGAAATGTTAACTTTGCTGCTTCCCTTATAGCTCAGTATATTTGTTATCCTATTCATAAAATGAGATTAAAGATTTTTATCATTGCCTTGGTAACTGTGTGGTTTGATGAAATAGCCATGAATAACACACTTGAGAGCTTCTTGTTCTGTAGGAACTCTCTTCCCTTTCACTGCTTTAGGCTGGGAGAGCTAATTGTTAAAACTATATAAAAATAGACCAGACAGCCTATGAATATAGTGTTCTTGGTGTTGTGTGCTATCAAGTCTACTTGGAGAAACTGTAGTCATTTTGTTATCTCTCTCCTAGGTCTATTGTTTTTGTTTGTTTGTTCTTGTTTTATTTTAAAATGGAGCTTGGTATACAGATCAGGCTAACATCAAATTTATGGTCCTCCTAATTCAGGCTATTGAATGCTGATTATAGACCTGTATCATGCCTAACATCTAATTATTTCATATTGCTGAGATGAAGACCCGCAACTGATGTAAGTTTAAACACATAGCTGGTGGCAGGAATAGAGTTATAATTCCAATTGTCAGATGCATACTTCTGTGGTTTATTTCTAACCCTTATGTGGTCTTACATTATCCAGGGCACAATAAATAATCTGTTTGTAAATAAGGTATGGCTAAAAGTTTTTGGCTTTAGGGTCTGGTGGGTCTGGGTTGTTCCCCAGGTATTTACCTGTCCTTTATTCTTAGAAAGTTATTTAAGTTTTCAAACCACTCAGTTTTATCATCAACAAAATGGGAGTAATGGAAGTAGTTATGTAAATGAACTATTGTAAAGATAAGATTCACGTGCTACACTAACCAGGAGACTCTTTTGAGCATCACTTGCCATTAAATGTGGGGTGGAGGAGGGAATGGCAATTCAGAGGGCCAACATTAAAAATAATGCATGACATACATAAATATATAGCCAGAATATTCTGAAGTAGATCTTCCTCATCTAAATTGTGTAAGATGTGATGGAATGTCAGGTCCTGGATGCTCAAGCATAAAAAGCATCCTCTTTATTCTTTAGGTTGGTGGTAGGCAGTGGTCAGTGAAAATGTCAGAGGAAGGGAGTCTACTAAGATCTGAAACATGAAGACCCCAAATGTTTGGAGAGTTGAAAGATGTTCCAGATGCCCAGGAACTAGAGAATGGAAGTCTAATGAATAGTGTAAACGAGGAAATAAATGTGAGCAGGAAGGACATCCGGGAAATCCAGACCTTGTTAAAGGGGAACCAGCCAAGTGTTCTCAGGTTGAGATGGAAGCCAGCAATTGTCAGGTATTGAGAGTTTTAAGAGAGGGACTTAAAATTTACATTTATGAAATATTTCAAAATGTGAAATGCTCAAATATTTTTAAAAAATACTATTGTGTAAAAGAAGATAAATAGATCAGTAAGTGTAATTCAATCCAAGGCCAATACATTACATTTTCATAACTATAAAGGTGAAAGAAGTTTTGTGTGGCTTAACACAAATACTTTAGAAGGACAGTCTGGGGACATGCCCACAGGTAGACACAAAGTGACAATACCCAGCATAGTGGAACTGACTGAGGGCAGTTGATTCTGAAAGCCAGTAGGTGACAGTGAAGATAGTATTGACACAATTGGACTTGTGTTACCAGGTACGTT